CCGCGGGCCTTCGCGCGCCCGGGGCCGGGGGCGGTGTGTGTGCCCAGCATGCAAAAGTTCATGTCGCCTCGGCGGGGCTTTGATTTGCATCGGGCGGGAAAGGGGAGACGGGGCCGAGGAGCCGGGATGCGTGTACCGGTCTGGCTGCCAGGGCTGGGCGCGACTCTGGGCCGTCCGCGGGTGGGCAGCGATGCTGGCTCAATTGAAGTGGCCCGTTGGCGGCTGCGATGGTGGAAGCGTCGGGCTGGAGGGCTGGGAGCTTTCTGAGTTTCGCCTAATTGGACCCCCCCCCCCAAACCTTGTGCACCCTCCCTTGGTCCTGCAGCCAGCGGCCTGGGCTGGCGCGTTTGGCTTTGGTGAAGTGGACTGGACTGGGCAGCAGGATGGGGCAGGAAAAGGGGTGGGAAGGCGGCAAGATACATACATATATACGCGCGCGCACACACACACACGCATGTATAGATAGATATATACATTTTGCTCTCTTTGTAACTTGCAGGTTAAGTGGAGCTAGAGAGCTGCATTGTAACCTAGTTGGATTTTTTGGGGGGTGGGGGGTGGGGGGAGGATGCATCAGAATCTAACGTGCCCTTAATAGAGGAACAGGGAAGAAGTGGTCCAGCCGGCGAAGGTTGGTGTGTGCTCGTGTTGTGACTGTGTGTTAGTCTTTCTCCGAAAATATTAATCAATGGATGAGTTTCTTGCTCGTGCTCTCCAGTTTTGGGACTCTGAAAAGACAGGAATTCCCTTAAAAGCAAGATGAATGCCTTTTTTTTTTTTTTTTTTTTTTTTTTGTGAGAGCACGCATTGTGTGTGTGTTTCCAGAGGAGCCTTGGGCTTGGGAATTAACGGCAGGCTTCCCCGTTCGGTGGTTTCCAGTGGGAAATCACTCCGGAAAGGGAACCCTTCAGTATCGATTTATTGTTTTTGTCTTTCCAACCATTATCCTTTTGACCAAAATACTGGCTGAGAAGTTCCACGGAGACAAAGTGAGGTAAACTGGACTGGGCAGATCTTTCGCAAGATGGTGATAACGATGTTGCTGTTTTTGGTGTCTGTTTGTGATGGAAGCATTGTTGGGTAATAGCAATTTCTGATCCATAGAGCATGCTGATTCTAAAAAAAAATTGTTGCTGCCGAAATACTGTCTTCCTGTCCCCCTTCCCTACACTCTGCAAGCACCCCCTCCCTCTTAGAACAATTCTGAAATCGGATCCAAGTGGAAATATTTTCATTGGAGATCGGAAAGTAGTGTAATTGGAAGTAGGAGATAAGGCTGGAGCTGCTTGGGGTGTGGGGAGGGGGTCTTATTGCCTCTGATACTGCATTTATTCTTTATGTGTGTCTGTGTGGGGTGTGTGTATTTGTCTAAAAGGACTGTTGAGGAAGGATTTCCGATTCGTTTCCGTTTCAAATAAACTGTCCTGATAATCTCATGGTTGACGTCTAATGGCTAAAAGGGCAATTTGGTGTCTCTTTATCCTGCAGCAGCTCCCCTCCAGAAGGGCAGTTTATTCTGGGATTCTACAGCAGCTACTTTTCCTTGCCAGTCCCCACTGCCCCCCACATAACTATTCAGACCTTTCCCCCTAAAGTTTGGTTGGAGTCCATGGTCTCTAAGGAAATACTGGGATTACTTACTCTTCTCTTAACATTGTTTTCCTTCACTTCCTTTTCATGCCTTCACTCTCTATCCCGTTTTTCTTCTTTTTCCTGTGGGTTTGTACTAAAAACAAATTTCATTAAGTAGTTGTCACCAATTTGATTTGACAGTTTGGCCCCATCCCTTACCTCCTTTAGATCACACAGGTAAATCTGCTCTGCCCCTTCCAAACTCATCTTCAGTGGCAAACTGGGTTTATGTGTGTGCCTGGGGGTGAGGGGGCATGGAAAGGAAGGGTCTTTTTCTGTGCCTATCACATCTGCTACACTGGGAAGAGACCTGGGCCACTGCAGGGAGAGTTTCCTTTGCACATCCCAGTAAGATGTTGCTTGGCTAGGATTGGGAGGCGGGGCCAAGTGGCCTGGGGCGTGGAGGGCGGAGAAAGTTTGTAGCACTTTAAAATGTAGACAGTTTACAACTCCTCCCCCTTCTCCAGTTTTCTGTGGCTTTCAAGATCCCTAAACTCCTGGAGGGAGGAGTGTTCTCTTCTGGCCAGCCCTGGAGTCCCAGGTTTCAGAGCAGAACTGAAGGTGCTGTGTTTTCAGCTGTGCTTGATCAGCTTGCCTCCTACCAGAAAAGGGTGTTAGGAGAATGTTGGGGACAGAGCAGAAGAGGAGAAAGCAAGCAAGTCTGGTCGAAAACAGAGTATTTGCAGACTATAGGGAGAGTAGCTTGAGAAGGTATGGAGACCTAGCACTCTGAGAGTTCCGCTCGGCACTTGACATCCTCCTCCCTCCTCCGTTAGAAAAAGTCTTGATCTTGGGGAGTTGAATTGGTGTAAGAGCTGGGCGGTGGGAGCCCCTAGCCATAAGAGTAACTTGAGCTGAGCTGGGGGAGGAGGTGGTGAGTGCATGCAATCAGGAGCCAGAGGAGGGAACCCGAAGTGTCTCTTTTAGCAGGGAAAATAGATGTGTCACTGGAATAAACAAACTGGAGGTGGGGGAGGGGATGGCTTGTAGTGAATATAAGGAGGAGCTTCTAAGAGGCTGCATCCTTGTTTAGGAAGGGGGCCACTTCTAGCCTGGGAGAAAATATCAGCTGCCTTATAGGTTCCTGGATGGGCTAGGCAAGTGAAGGGTTGTAATCTGGTCTTTTGTATGTGAACGTCCAAATGTTACATAGGAAGGCTCTGCTGGGAGGCCCAGTTTGGACTTCACACAGAAGACACACAGGGGTAGCCCTGAGTGAACCAAACAGCCGCTTAGTGTCATGAGAGGTTCAGGTTATGTGCAGAGCTCATAGCAAGTGGTTTTGTAAATAACCTGACCACAAAGGAGCGTTGGAGGGAAAGAGAAAACAGTGCTTGAAATCTTTGCAGAAGATAGTTGAAAATGGTCAGTGGGGAGAGGCAGGAGGCAGAATTTTGCTGAAGAAGAAATAAATAGGTAGGCACTTCCCCCTGGAGTCCCTATTCCATTTCTGCTGTTATCTTGACTTTTCAATTACATTAGGGGCCTAATCGATACTTCTCTGGCACAAACATGAGGGTCTAGGAGAGGAAAGTTGTCTCAACCTGATCATTATTTTTAGTGGTACTTTAATCTCTGGTCTGAAGCGCCTGTCTAATATGCAGAAGGAGGAAGATGAGAACTAGCTTAACGGATGGGACATCCTTTCTGGGTTCCTGTGGAGACATTGAAACTTGGCCGAGTCTCAGCCTCCCAGGATGCCAATTTTTCCCTTGGAGACTTGAAGTTTTAATTGAAACCAGAAAGCTATTGAAGGCAGACACAGCCAATGAAACCCTGTTTTCTCTGCTGCTCAGGAACGGGAAATAAATAATTTTTTTTTGCTGATGGCATTTCAGATTATTTCAGTTTTGCTCTGGCCAGAAGAGTGGGGTAAATTATCATTAACACATTAGCATTTGAAGGAGTTGCCTTGCCTTAAAAACTGGGATGATGTTAGAGAGTTAGCTCTGTGACCTACCATGTGGGAGGGTCCTTACCTTTTCCCTTCTATTTGCTAAGGATTTACATTTCTGCCAGTGGAGAGGTTTGAACTTGGGGAGCTTGAGGTTTGAGCTTCGGGCTAGAGAGTTGTGGAGGTCTGAGTTAGATGGATCCAATGCGGTAAGCTGAGAATGCTCCTCAGAAATAGTTGGGGCACCTTATGTGCTTCTAAGATAGCAAATCCAGCACAGTCATTGGTGGCTGTGTCTGTTTGTTAGATCTGTTGACCTTTTGTTGTTGAAGCAATGAGATCCTTGAATTTTTTTTTTCAGTATTGATTAATAACAGTGGCTAAAAAAGAATGATTTGATGTGAAAGCCCTGTGGGTGTACTTTTCTGCTCATTACTTTGCACTCTGGAGCTAGATTACAATCTGTTTTTTGATCCACAACTATTTAGTGACATCTCAGCCCTGCAGCTTGTGCGAAACAGTTGTGCCTGGCAGTCTGGGGCAGGAAAGGACTGGCAGAAGACTTGGCTTTTGCCCTTGGAGAGTGGATGGTATATCTGGAGAGACATGCTTAACTCACATGGGAAGCATCAGTCTGTGGCCAAAGCAGGAACATGATCCACAGTGCAGTTAACGCTGGTCACATGATCAGGGCTGGGGTGCAGTCAGGGAAGACTTCATGGAGGATATGGTTCTGGGTTGGATGGAAGAAGTGGAATAAGGTGACCTTCTTGGCAGGTAGAATAGCTTTGGCACAGGGGCAGAGATGGGACAAAGTTCACGTGTGAATTTGGAATTGCCACAGTGAAATGGATGCTAATTGTGAACATGCGCTGTACCTGGCAGGAGCAGGACCTCCCTGAAGAGGAAGGTTCAACTGCTTGATCTGGGTGGGGGCAGGCCAACCACAGCACCTTGCACTGTTTTTTGAGTGAGCCCCATTTTACCCAGTGCACACTTTGCGGCTGGCTAGTCTGAGCTCTTCTGTCCATGGAGGGAGGGACAAAACCCAAGGCTCTCTAAGATGAGTCTGTTCTGCCTGTCCAGGGTCTTAATTCAAACTCCGTAAATTCTCAACTCTTTGGTAAAGTTGGTTTACTCATTGCCATTTAAACATGAACGTGATCAGCCCCTAATGTGGGGAACCCTAGACATGGAGAAGACAGGATCTGTGCCCTCCGTCTGGCTGGAAGACACCATAACTCAGAAGACCAGTGGATAGCAGCAGTGGACAGCCATCAAGTGCTTAGTAACTCAGCTGTAGTGGAGTGCAGGGAAATAAAGCATCTCCAGGGGTTGGACGGATGAGAGAAAGCTCCAAGGGGCAGGTGGGACTTGGAATGAGTCCTGAACAATGGGATAGGTACACAGTCGCCAGGAAGATATTATAGGTGGGAATAAGTGCGGTGTTTCCAAGAGGCAGAAAGACCAGTTTGACACTGGGCTCTGTGGGGTGTCAGGCAGCAAGACAGATGGAGTCGGGTCCTGTGAAATGTGGATCCAGCACCACAGCTTTCAGAGTTCAGGGAGAATGGGCTGAAGAACAAGCTGAGGAGCAGGACGGTGTGCCAGGTGATGACTTCTACATGTACCACTCAAGAGAAAACCCTGACATCTGACCACCCCGCCCACCACTAGGTCCTGTCAGCCACCAGCTCTTTAGTTTGAGATTCAAAAGAGATATCTTTAGAATAGAAAGTCAAACTATATATAAGCAAGGCATAGCAATTGAACTGACCAGTGTGAGGAACATAAAAGCTCTGTGACACTGATACTTACCTCCAGGTGCTTAATATATATTTGGAGAAAGACATAGACAAGTTTTGGTAACGATGCCGTGTTTACATGACCGTCCAAGATAGCTAGAGGTAAGATATCATAAAGGAAGGGAAGTGGGAGCTAATATTTATTTAGCTTTCAGGTGTGCCTAGCATCTCCTTTGTGGCAGAAGCACAAACGTGTTATTTTACACTTACGGTCAAATGACAATGAGCAAACCAGTTGCTGGATCAGATGATTGAGAAATGGAGGAATTTGAAGTAAGACCGGACAGGTAGTGGGGTCAA